TTATCATCTGGAGTCGCTTAACTGTAAATGAGAACTTGATAGAAAATGGACAGTTTTGCATCAGCATGACTAAGGACAGCAATACCACTGGACATTTTCTATCCCTGGTTAAAGCAGTCCTATTACTGCTTAATAAAAAAAATCACATGTTGCTGCTTAAACTACCTGGTAATCCTTTTTTTTTAACTAAAAACTGCAAGTTGAAATTAAGTAGATTGGAGTACTTCCGCTGTAAGTAAGCCAAGCTTACTGTAAAAGAAAAAAAAAACAATTACAGAGCCAAATATGCACTGCCAGAGTACATGAGCTGAGCTGTCCGTAAAAATGGTACTGTTTTTTAACACCACATAGAGCATTAAGGCCTTGTTCACACCAAGCGCGGAGCAGGTGCAGAGCAGTTACAGACCGGAGCAAAACTGCGTCCAATGTATTCCAATGGTATTTTTAGCTCCAGTTCACATCGCAGCGTTCAGTTCCAGAGCAGGTAAAAAAACTGCAGCAGGCCCTATTTTACCTGCTCTGGAATGCATGCAAACGCATCAAAAACGCCTGGAACACATGGAACACACTGAAAGCCCATTTTAAACAAGCAAAAAAACGTGGCAAAAATGCGGCACAACCCACTGCACTGAGTGTGCAGAAACCTGAGCAGATCTGCTCTGCATTTGGTGTGAACAAGGCCTAATGCATCCCCATACTGCTGTATGGTAATTACTTTTACATAAATTTTTTGCATTGGTGCATCGCTCACCCCTACTTATGACAGCAGTTAACTTTAAAGTTGTTAGACATAGAAACAGTAGACAGCGTTTGCCTCATTGCATGAATTATTACAACAAAGGATTCAGCAGTAAAGAAATATGATGAAATCTGAAATCTCTTTGAAAGAACAAGAAAAGATACTCAAGTACTGATGTCTATATGTATAAAGATTAGAATTGTCCAGACTATGATATTTTCTGTCATTCTCTATGAAAAAAAGCAGGAAAATTAAGATGCATGACAGGAACAGATTTGATGCCCGCCGAGCGCCCCACAATGAACTGCGCACCGCACAGTGCATTGTCAGGGCCCTGATTGGCTAAAGCAATTCACTGCCCGTGAAGCATTGCGGTCATCGGAAGCCCGCCCCTCAGGGGGGCGGGCTTGCGATGATCGAGAGTGCGATCTGCCTGTCCAAGATAGGCAGATCGTACGTTTTTTTAATCCCTGTACAACCATCGCAAGACTAAGGTCTTGCGATGGTTGTAGAGTGTATGACCACCTTAACTGTGATGGGTTAAAGTGTGGAGGCACCAACACCAAAAGGCCATTTTTTCCAAACCTGTGTGACAGGTATATCATTTGAATTTTTACAGCAGGGTCCAATCCTGCACTCGTCAAGAATAACTCTGGAGGGTTATGGTGTGAAGGCACCACCAACACTAAAGGCCCAATTTTAAAGCACCTGTTGTTACTTTCATCCAACTCCTGCAAAAGAGACACCAGAATGTATCCAAAAAATCTCTAACCTTGTTCCGAGTGTCCTAAAATGTGGCAACTTCATACAGGCTGCCTGTAATGTCCATCAAGCTTATGTGTGTGGATCTCAGCTGCGGAGTGACTCTGTGGATGGCTCAGGTAGAGGGTTCACTGTCGCACTCTATATTATCCCTAGCAAGTTGCTTGACGTTCTACCTCGCTAGAACGCTGAGCAAGTGAGCCTTGTTCTTTTTTTTCTTTATAAATGTCACTTGCAGCAGGTTCTATACATCGTACAGATGCACCACTTTACAGGCAGTTTAATGGTACCCCCCAGGCACAATGTTATAAAGGACTGCAGCACTGAACACTGAAAAATGGCCTGGCCAGGAAGGGGGTCTAAACACCTGGTCTTGAAGTGGTTAAAAACAGTACTTTTTAAAAGTGTTTTCTGCATTGATATATGTCAGTAACCGAACTTCCCATACCTTTTTTATGGTCAATAACTTGCATACAAGCCTTCAAAATGGGGACATTTGATTTTATGAGTTCTGGTCCCACAGACTTTCATTGAGTTCTAAGTTCTTGTAAGAACTTTTTCCCTGTTCTAAAGTTCTTGTCAGCCCATCACTATTACCAGCAATAATGTGGAAAGATGCAGTCACAGATATATAAACATGCTGTTGTGAAGCCTTAACCTTAACCCAAACAGAAGACAAAACATTCTCGGTAAACACTATCCATGTGGTCACCAGGAGCTGACATCAACTTGATGGCACCTAACATCAATAACACTTTAAAGCATTTATTACCTCTCGCAGAGATCACAGGGAACCCCTTGATGTTTTATTCTGCCTTTCCCTTGGGAAACATGGCACCATATTTGTTCAGACATTATACATGGTTAGCATTTACTTCTTGAATTGACATTGTGGCTCACAGATAACACAATCTTGTGAATCATTGTGGCTAAACACTTGGTTGTGTTCTCAAATGTAGCAATGTTAAAATCTGATCACTGTGGGAAAGTGGATCAATACATTTCTGCCTCCTGGCTGCAGCTTGCTGGTAACATTATCTCAGCCAAAGCAAATTCATTTACAGTGATCTGTTTTTGTTTTTTTTAAATTGTACAGTTCCTCTATGTTGTTACTAGGGATGGGATTTAAGTTTGCAGTGATGCAGGGCTCTCTGTGACTCCCGGCTGTCAGCGTGACTGCGTCTGCACGGTAGAGTCCCAAGGAAGTCTGTGTGGCTCTTCTCCCTGCATCTGACAGCTAAGAAACAGAGATAAATTACCCCCATAGAAGTCTATGGGGCTCTACTGTGCAGATATGGCCAGGAGAGAGAGGTCTGCAGGGCAAATTGTAAACAAACAAAGGAGGCAATGGGCACCAGATCTTGGTAAGTATGCATCAATGTAGGGGGAGATCTGTTACCTCAGGGAAGGGGGGGCATAAAAAATAATAAATGCACTATAAATGAAATTCAAAATCATATTTACCCACATAATTGGACAACCATAATATACATATGCATACTCTTAGGATCCATAGGTGTACACAGAACCTCTAATAGTCTACACACATTTGCGGTTATGTAATACAATTCGTAAAATACTGAAATTTGTACACATCACACTTTTAGGAGTTAAGTTTCCATTTGTCATTGTTTGGCAAGTCTACAACATTTTAAGTGTTAATGTATCAGTTAATTAGATCTACATTTTTTTGATTGCTCGCATTCAGTTGGGATTTAGTAGGGTATAGTGTGTTTAAGTGTGTCAACAACATATTTTACTTAACATTTACTAAAAGTATAGGTTCACTGAGTGAAATGTAGCAAATCATGGATCAGAATGTAGAACTCTATATCATGTTGGGCCAACATATACTTTATCATCAGAAATATAGGGTATATTAGTTATTTATATGCTATTTTACAAATGCTAACTTGACATAAATGAAGTACACAAGGGAAAAATACAGGAGGCAATTTTAAAGCAATATTTCTTTTTGTAACAATACAATAACCATATTCCATAACTAAATACTAAAACTACATGCAAAACAAATCTAGAAACACATTTGCTCTTATATATGTACAATATTTAAGCTCATACGGTTACATTTATAAGTAGCAAATCTTCCAGTAATGATTATAATGAAGTAGTATAAAAAAATTCCTAGTTCAGAGACAAAATTGGCACTTTAAAAACTGATTAGGGATGCCTTACACAGGGACAGTTAGTTCTTTTACATCCCTAGTGCAATACCTTATGAATGATGACAGCAACTCCTGCTCCTTAGCATTTCCAATTGCTAGGCTACACTAATAACTGGTGCTGTTAAAGGAACTCTTGATTTATATTTCAGTATGCACGGTCTTGTGATCGTTTCTGCAACTTTTGCTAAAATCCATTGACAATTAATATCCATTTGTGTTTTCAGCACCGTAAAATATATATTTTTTCTGTTTTCAATGTATTTGCTTTTTGCATATGTGTGTTTGGAAACAAACGTGGCATGGTTCATAATAGCATGAAAGCCAATTTTATAAATCTTTAGCTGAAAAGAATAAAAAAACAAAAGTAAACTTAAATGTAAAAAATGTTGCAGGACTCTGACAATAAAAAAAAGAAATCTTTAAATAGAAATTTGGCTATTTCGAAAATAGCCTTTCAATATTCAAAGATATGTCCACAGGACCAGTTAAAAGGTAACCAGCTAAACTCTGGGGCCCTGGCAAAGCACTGTGACATCACTGTGCTTAATGTTTCATACAGTAGGGTCTCCAAAAAGTTATCCTGATTAGAGATCCATGTTATTTAAAAGTGACCAGTTGGAGCAGCGAGGATAAAAATAATACATACATTATTTTATTTGCAGCCTTCTGCCAAACAGTAGATTAAAGTAGATGTAGATGTAAACTTAAAAATTACATTTAGTTTACTAAAGCACTGTGTATAATAAACAATTGCCATTTCCTCAAATTTTCATCCTTTTTTTTGCATCTCATTAATATTAATCTTGTCCAGCCTCTTTGCAACCACTTATTGTTCACATGCATGCGTTCCAACGGCAGCCCCATGTCATTGCTCTGCACCAGGTTTCTGGTGGTGACAACTGCAGAATATGCCTATGCAATGTGGGCTGGCACAGCTGCTTGTAGTCCCCATCGGAAGCGAGTTTAATCAGGGTGACAACAATGATTGGGATTAGAATCACCTTAAGGAATCAGTTATTCCTTTGACACATACAATCCTCCTACTGTTCAGAGGCTAACTACAGCACACAAATCTCAACTTATCCTTATGCTGATGCAGGAAAAAATTTTTATTATATAACTTGATATTTTTCTAGAATAAACCTAATACATATATTTTTAGAATAGCTGGAACAAAGATGAAACAGAGCTGATGCTAATTTCTTTTTTTTTTTTGCAGTGTGCACTGTAGAAGTGACAGCTGGATTCTGTATTGAGAGCTGTAAGCAAAACCTCAACTTTTCTTTGCTCCAAATGCCCCATTGTCTCTGTATGGCAGCAGGCTTTTTAATATGTCTATACAAATGCCCAGTCCTTCTTGCATATTGACCACAAGCTTGATGTATTAATCGCAAACCTACTCCCTCTTCCCCCACAATAAAACCTTTACCTTATGGTTGTTAAATTTAAGTCTAACAACAACAATATATTTATATAAAATTAAACAAAAAAGTTCAAGTTGTAAAACATTATACATGTATTGCAATAGTCTTCTTTTTTCCCCAGTAAGGGCCAATGTTCCAGGATACGTGTATAATGCATTATACTCTTAGCATTTAACATGCTAAGAGAACAGTACATGATGTTTAAGAAAACAATACCTTTTACCAGAAAACCACGTTAAATGGATTATATACAAAACTGTTATCTGGATTTGGTTTCTGGAGTGAATTTATCTAGCGTTTTCTAAGTATTAAGTACATGATACTGTTAATGAAAGTGAAAGCAAAGGCAATCCAAGCGAGGATGAAAGAATATCCAAAAGTGCCATCCTGAATGTTAAGGTTCGGGTGAAATGTTTCATGCATGGAAGAGTAGATTGCAGCTGCAATCATAACACAAAGACCTGTGGGATAGAAATTAAACAATCAATCAACTGATAGCGAGAAAAATGCTGTTGTAAAACTATAAATAATTCCAAACACCAGCTTTCACATTTTCTGTCATTTAAATTGGGACAAACTAGTACTTATTGTCTTTTAGAGATTAATAGGGTTCAGATTTGCTCCCATCTCCTGTTTGCCAGGCTTGGAGCCCCATCTTAAAAAAATGTGCTTTCCTCTCCCAGAGACACAAGGCCTGGGACTCAGAAATGAGGGTTGGCATTCCTAAAAAAAAAAAATGGAACCCCATGCTATATTGATATAAATGATTTTGCCTATAAACAATGTTTCCTATGAATGACTAAACTAAATCTGGGTGTTGTTGCATTACAATGTGCTAAAACAATGCACGTTAATGAGCATTCTTTGGTGCATGCAAGTGCCATTTATTTAGAGTGACACTCTAAGACACTATTACTGTAGACAGCAATGCACCCATGCTGCAATGCACCAACATACATGCTGCGCATTATTGTACAAGCTGCCTTAACACAGCATGCTTTAACGCATGATATAACTCAGTAGCAGAAATGTGAAGGGGCCTTAAAGTAAACCTCTCCTAAGAGAAATATGGGAACTGCCAATGCAGACCTTCTTTTAAGAATGCTAGATAGATAGACTATCAATCATGCTGACCCACTGGCCCACTGGCTTCAGTACTTTCCAAGTCAGTGACCCAGGCAAGCAGTGACAAGGAGAGCAGGTCAGGAACGTCAGAGACAAGTCCTTAACTGCATTTTGGGCTAGTGATTAGTGATAAGTATTGAAGGAATTGGGTTGGAATATGAAGCCGGCAAACTAGCATTGTAGAATGAAAAGTTGGCAATTACAGCCTCCCTGTTTTTTTTAACAGGAAATGTTTTCTTTAATGGAATATTTTAATAGCTGTGGTCAGTTTTCTTTAAAATTGCGCTGTGAATATGCCACATGTATTTTTACAGGATGCATTTATGACACACAGGTTGCAAAGAATGCTGGGTTGTCTATTTAGAAAGCACAGCATTATATTTATGCTTTTTGGAAGACTGTGTTAATCCACATGTTAAGATGTTGTCATGTTTGCTAGCAGAGTGGAAATAGTTGTATACCTTCTCTTACTCCTTTAGGTCTATTTTTAGATCAACAGCTGCCTAAAAGGAGCTGTATAAACCCGCAGTGCTGGACCTGCAGTGTGCATTTGGTAATTTTGAAATATTCATAATATGTCATATTTACGTGATTGCCAAAAGAAAATATGTTTTATTTAGAGTAGTAATAGTACGAGGAGGGCAACACTTCTTAGTGTTCAGGCAAAAAAAGAAAGAATTGTTTTTCAAAGGTGTAGACCCTCAGACAAATTGTAATTGCTTCATGGGTCCCCATTGGTGAGATTCGCCTCTCTATTTGTATTGTTGTGCATTGTCAACAAGAAATCTAAATCAAATCAAAATACCTAGAGTTCTCACCAGAGTAAGGTAAGGATAAATCTTCCAATGTGGCAGGTAATTGGACAGTTTGTATGTATAAAAACAAAAAGATTGTTAGTGTTGCAATCACTATAATCAGTTGTTGCTCACTTCATCACTTTATATAAGGAAATTCCTCTTTCTTTGTTATCAAAATTTTATCGATGCTGTGATTGCATGTAACAATTAATTAATAAATGATGGATGAATAGATTGCCCAATTGTGAATACATCCACACTCTAAAACAAAGGAAACCGATCTTGAAAGTAAAAGAGTATTCAGCTTGCGGTAATTGAAACCCGTGAATATATACAATATGACAGGAGTGCATGGTAACATGCACTCACGGCATCGGCACCGTGAGTGCAAGGTAACATGCACTCTAACGGCATCGATAAAATTTTGGTAACTAAGAAAGAGGAATTTCCTTATATAAAGTGATGAAGTGAGCAACAACTGATTATAGTGATTGCAACACTAACAATCTTTTTGTTTCATCTTTTGATTCTGTAATTCCTTGCAATTTGTGAATCCACATCAATATACTCATATCATTATCCACCTATCCCGTCAATACCTAATAATTTGAAGTCATATTGTAAGTTGTGCAGTGATGGTGTTTTGTAATTTATGCAAAAATCAACTTTTTTCTAATTTTTTATAATACCTCGTCTGTCTCGGTCTTTAAGTTACCTCTGTGAATTGCTATCTTCTAAATAGCTTTTTTATATAGTTTTTGCATTCTTAGGGTTCCCGTTACATATCGTGAGCAGGGCCGTCTTTAACGCGGGGCAACTGCCCTGGTGAGACCCCCCACAGGCCTGCTACCCTGGTGAGGCCCCCACAGAGCCCTGGTTTAGCCAGGCCTCTGCGGGGTCTCACCAGGGCTCTGTGGGGTCTCACCAGCCCTGGTTAAACCCCACAGAGCCCTGTTGGGACCCTACAGAGCCCTGGCTTAACCAGGGCTCTGTGGGGTTTTGCCAGGCTTTGTGTGGTGTAACCAGTCCCCACAGAGCCCTGGTGAGCCCTCACAGAGCCCTGGTTAAGCCAGGGCTCTGTAGGGTCTCACCAGCACCAGGGTTCTGTAGGGTCTCACCAGCACCAGGGTTCTGTAGGGTCTCACCAGCACCAGGGTTCTGTAGGGTCTCACCAGCACCAGGGTTCTGTAGGGTCTCACCAGCACCAGGGTTCTGTAGGGTCTCACCAGCACCAGGGTTCTGTAGGGTCTCACCAGGGCTATGGGGGGTCTCACCAGCCTGGGTAGCCCCCTCAGAGCCCTGGTGAGACCCTACAGAGCCCTGGCTTAACCAGGGCTCTGTGAGGTCTCACCAGGGCTCTGAGGGGGCTACCCAGGCTGGTGAGACCCCACATAGCCCTGGTGAGACCCTACAGAACCCAGCTGCCAGGGCTCTGTAGGGTCTCGCCAGCCCTAGTTAAACCCCACAGAGCCCTGGTGAGACCCTACAGAGCCCTGGCAGCTGGGTTCTGTAGGGTCTCACCAGCACCAGGGTTCTGTAGGGTCTCACCAGCACCAGGGTTCTGTAGGGTCTCACCAGCACCAGGGTTCTGTAGGGTCTCACCAGCACCAGGGTTCTGTAGGGTCTCACCAGCACCAGGGTTCTGTAGGGTCTCACCAGCACCAGGGTTCTGTAGGGTCTCACCAGCACCAGGGTTCTGTAGGGTCTCACCAGCACCAGGGTTCTGTAGGGTCTCACCAGCACCAGGGTTCTGTAGGGTCTCACCAGCACCAGGGTTCTGTAGGGTCTCACCAGCACCAGGGTTCTGTAGGGTCTCACCAGCACCAGGGTTCTGTAGGGTCTCACCAGCACCAGGGTTCTGTAGGGTCTCACCAGCACCAGGGTTCTGTAGGGTCTCACCAGCACCAGGGTTCTGTAGGGTCTCACCAGCACCAGGGTTCTGTAGGGTCTCACCAGGGCTATGGGGGGTCTCACCAGCCTGGTTAAACCCCACAGAGACCTGGTGAGACCCCACATAGCCCTGGTACGGGAAATGGCACTTTCGGCATTATGCCAAAAGTGGCATTTACGGCCGATATGTTTCAGCGGCCGATATATCGGTGCATCCCTAATATAAACGGCTGAGTTTGCAATCGGTTTGAAATCCTGCAGTCAAAGTTTTTTTGAGAGAAGTCTATGATCTATGTGTGCTGTTTTTTTTCCTGGGTGTTGGGGAGGTGAGAGAAATTCCTGGGGGGGGGGGCAAGAAAATGTTTGCCCAGGGTCCGATCAGTATTAAAGACGGGCCTGATCGTGAGGACAGACATTCTACCAATAGAAGGGTTAACACTGTTAAAATCGGATCTCTAAAAGGATAATTATTTTTTGTTTTTTAAAGTGAACGTCTTGCTTTACACTTTATGGGTAAAGCACAAGTTCACCTTAAGCTTAATTATTAGAGTTAAAGCAACCCTGCTGATAAAATAAAATAATTTAAACAAAGTTAAAGAAGAGATTTAATACTCACTTTTCTGGCAGGCAGAGCTTGCCAGAAAAGTGCTACAGAGCTACAGAGCTAAAGAGCTACAGCTGCTAATGGTGTTAAATGGTTCTGGTATTTTGGATACCTGGCCCTCACTGGGTGCTGGGTTCCCTCCATTACCTGCCACGCCTCTATGTGTCCTGTGTTGATGCATATGCACCTCTTCTAGACTGACAACATATACTTAAGTGTTAATTTTTAGGTCATTAATTAGGGTTCAGAATATGGTAGGGCCAAGTTTGTTACTTGTTTAGATCAGGACATTGAAGTTCACATTTTATTTATAACTTGTCTTTAATGCAGAAATTCCAGCTCGAGGAGCCTAATTCAAAGGAAGGGAGAATAAATCTATGTACAGCCACACAATATTTACTCACATGACAACATTTGGATGATAGCAGAGAACACAAATCGCTCTCCTTGTTTCAGTCGGAACAGTTGAAGACCAAAGCTCAGTAGTCCAATACAGCAAAGTATGGTTGAAAGGACCATTGTAGCCTGAATAGCCTGTATGGCATTAAAATCTGAAAACAAATATATATACATATAAAGTTCAATTAGCTGTCTCCCGTAGCCAGAAGACTTAGATAAACATTTTTTTCTTAAGAACAGATCACATTCAATGATTTTTTTCCTTTCCCAAATCCCAGATAAACTTTGTTTAACCTCCTGCCGTCCGCCCGTTAAGAAAAAATGGACGGACGGCGGGTTTGGTGCCTTTTTACCCAACGTGACCCCGTCTTTTATATTTTACCAAAAAATGGGTAATAATAAATCTTTTAGAATTTAATATAGGGGAAACAGTTTTTGTTTTTTTAATCCTGTAAATTTTCCTTAATATAGTAAAAAATAAAACCTGCAGTGGTGATTAAATACCACCAAAAGAAAGCTCTATCTGTCCCCAATAAAGAGTATAAAATTAATTTCAGTACAGTGTTGCATGGTTCCATTTCAGAAAAATAAATTTTCAACCACAGAAAAAAAAGGTCCTAAGGAGCATTTGTGAGTATTCGTCAATATGTAAATCTCAGGGTAGGTCCAGGAGAAATGTCTTTGAAGAATGGATATTGGAAGTTGTAAAGATTTGTGCAAGAAACAGTTGCTGCTGAACAAAAGACCTGGCCTGTGCACAGCTCCACATGAAGTGAAAGAAATCTGCAGTTTCCCAATATCCTCTACAGCAGTGAAAAATTCTACCCATTCTAAACAGTTGCTGTGAGCAATGGAGAAAGTTTCTTTATCTAAATACACTATATTGCCAAAAGTATTGGGACGCCTGCCTTTACACATACATGAACTTTAATGTCATCCCAGTCTTAGTCTGGATGGTCCAATATTGAGTTGGCCCACCCTTTGCAGCTATAACAGCTTCAACTGTTCTGGAAAGGCTGTCCACAAGGTTTAGGAGTGTGTCTATGGGAATGTTTGACCAGTCTTCCAGAAGCGCATTTGTGAGGTCAGGTACTGATGTTGGACAAGAAGGCCTGGCTCGCAGTCTCCACTCTAATTCATCATCCCAAAGGTGTTTTATCGGGTTGAGGTCAGTCAAGTTCCTCCACCCCAAACTCGCTCATCCATGTCTTTATGGACCTTGCTTTGTGCACTGGTGCTCAGTCATGTTGAAACAGAAAGGGGCCATCCCCAAACTGTTCCCACAAAGTTGGGAGCATGAAATTGTCCAAAATGTCTTGGTATGCTGATGCCTTAAGAGTTACCTTCACTGGAACTAAGGGGCCAAGCTCAACCCCTGAAAAACAACCCCACACCATAATCCCCCCTCCACCAAACTTTACACTTGGCACAATGCAGTCAGGCAAATACCGTTCTCCTGGCAACCGCCAAAACCAGACACGTTCATCAGTTTGACCAGACAGAGAAGCATGATTCGTCACTCCAGAGAACACGTCTCCACTTCTCTAGAGTCCAGTGGTGGCGTGCTTTACGCCACTGCATTCGACGCTTTGCATTGCACTTGGTGATGTAAGGCTTGGATGTAGCTGCTCGGCCATGGAAACCCATTCCATGAAGCTCTCTACGCACTGTTGTTGTGCCAATCTGAAGGCCACATGAAGTTTGAACGTCTGTAGCTATTGACTCTGCAGACAGTTGGTGACTACTGCGCACTGTGCGCTTCAGAATGCGCTGACTTTGTTGTGCCAATCTGAAGGCCACATGAAGTTTGAACGTCTGTAGCTATTGACTCTGCAGACAGTTGGTGACTACTGCGCACTGTGCGCTTCAGAATGCGCTGACTCCGCTCTGTTATTTTACGTGGCCTGCCACTTTGTGGCTAAGTTGCTGTTGTTCCTAGTTGCTTCCGCTTTGTTATAATACCACTAACAGTTGACCGTGGAATATTTAGTAGCAAGGAAATGTTATGAGTGGACTTATTGCGCAGGTGGCAACCTATCACGGTACCACGCTTGAATTCAGTGAGCTCCTGAGAGTGACCCATTCTCTCAGAAATGTTTGTAGAAGCAGTCTGCATGCCCTAGGGCAGGTTCACACCATTTTCTGGACCAGATCTGGAACTGAGTTTTTGACAAGTATTTGACACATCCAATTTCAGGTCTTGCTGGGGGACCTCTGCAAGACCTACAGATAGCCAGGAAAAGAGCAGCACAATGCTTGCACATAAGTTACATGAACTTACCACAGTGGTTCTTTTCAGAGCTGCTCAAATGATCACAGCCAGGGACAACCTGGGCACCAATGCCTCTCCACTTGTCCATCTTCCTATTATTGTTCTTATATTGGCCATACCTTGGATCATACAGCTCTGGGCAGGCTTCCACAAGTTCTACAAAGAATTCAGTGTCCATTTCAGCCATCATGGTTCCTATCTTCAAAAATCTCTCTCCACAGAAGCAGGAAGTCCTGGGGTGATGAGATTATCCAAACCAGCAAAAAAAAAAAAAATTCCCCGTTGAGTTGCAGTGCGTTTTTGACGCGTTTGTGCGCGTTTCGGTGTGTTCCAGACCAGAAAGTTGTGACACACAGTATTTTTCTGTTCTGGTCTGGAACTGACTGCAATGGCGTGAACTGAGGCCAAGAAGAGCTTAGGGAAACATTGGGATGCATTTTAGGTCCAGAAACAATCTGGTCTGGTCTGGAGGTGATCTGGAGGCGGTGTGAATGGGCCCTAAGTGCTTGATTTTATACACCTATGACCATGGAGGTGATTGCAACAACTGAATCCAATAATTTGGAGGGGTGTCCCTATACTTTTGGCAATATAGTGTATATTTTTTAGGTGTGGCTGGACTGGATTTAACTAATTGTGATACCATTTCACTTAGGCATTTCTGAAATCCACATACATTTGTGAACTGTATGTAGTGGCTTGGAGAACTTTATTATAGAACCACAAAAAAAAAAAATTCCCATTTGCACTAAAGTTGGCCTTAAAAGCAAACCTGTTATGTCTTAAGTATTGATGCTAAGAAAATAAATACAGGCACACATTATTGCCTATAATTGTTTTCTTTTATATATCTTTTACATGTCATAAGTCACAGAAGCCCCCTAACCCTGGATACTTAGTATGTGAATATCAACTTACAGCTCCAAGTCAGAGGACTCCATCACTTTGAGAGGAATTAGGTGAAGGCATGGCAGATGTCTGACTTTGGAGGTGGTAGTGAACATTTGCATACTGAGTGGTAATATAAAGAAAAACATGGGAAGGTTTGCTTTTCATTCCTTTTGTCAGAAGTCAATTATTTTAACTATGATAATGGTAAACAAGTACTGAGATGATAATGCTTGCACTTACTAGTAGTATCACTTCCAATTGCCGAGCACTGTACCGTTTTACTGGAATTCATACAGGTCTTCCAGATGTCAACATAAAAGTTATTTCCAACCCACCAAGCCTGTGAATATAAAAGTAGACATAATACAGTTTAAAACAAAATATTTCCTTTTAAATGTAGAGTATAATATTGTTTGTGTGCAATTTGGTGACATATACATGTGTGTTTCTTCCAGAGAAAGGTGAATATGTCATATCAGCTGTACCCTGACAATTTTCTTACCTTGCCTAGTGGATGTTCAACTATATCCTCTTCAAGTATATACAGTGAGGAAAATAATTATTTGATCCCCTGCAGATTTTGTACATTTGCCCACTTACAAATAAATGAAAGGTCTATAATTTTTATCATAGGTATTTTAAATGATAGAGACAGAATAATAACCAAAAATCCAGAAAAAACACATTATACAAATGTTATACATTGAGTTGCAGTTCAGTGAGTAAAATAAGTATTTGATCCCCTACCAACCAACAATAATTCTGGCTCCCACAGGCTGGCTATGTGGTACACAGATTAGTCCTGTCAATTTAAGAAGGTACTCCTAACAACAACTCGTTATGTATATAAAAGACACTTGTCCACAGAATCTCTTTCTTCCATTCAAACTTCACCATCATGGGCAAGACCAAAAAGCTGTCAAAGGACGTTAGGGACAAGATTGTAGACCTGCATAAGGCTGGAATGGGCTACAAGACTATCAGCAAGAAGATTGGTGAGAAGGAAACAACTGTTGGAGCAATTATTCGCAAATGGAAGGAATACAAAATAAGCATCAATCGCCCCCAGGCTGGAGCTCCATGCAAGATTTCGCCTCATAGGGTAAGGATGATCATGAGAAAAGTGAGGGATCGGCCCAGAACTACACGGGAAGAGCTTGTGAATGATCTCAAGGCAGTTGGGACCACAGTCCCCAAACAAACCACTGGTAACGCAATACACCGCCATGGATTGAAATCCTGCAGCGCCCGCAAGGTCCCCATCCTCAAGAAGGCACATGTACATGCCCGTCTGAAGTTTGCCAATGAACATCTAAATGATTCAGAGAAGGATTGATATATAGACAAATGTATGAGTTGCCTCGATATGCTCAATCTGAGGACACCTCTCCCCTAAATAGATATAGAACCCAAGAAACAATAAGGTATCATGACCATTTCATAGATAAAATCAAATAACATAATTTATTTAAACATATAAATACATTGATGAGATAAAAAATTGTCCAAGACAAAATTTCCCCAAATTTGTGTTGGATGTGGCACCAATGATATACAGAATTCCACAAAGATCATTAGTCACATGTCCAAAATACTTCGAAAAAACAATATTGATACCAAAAACTGTATTCTTTCTGGATAACTTGCGTATTCCTTAGTGGTTCCGGTACCGACGCGTTTCGCTCTTAGCTTCTTCAGGGGACCATGGGGAACTAGCTTAGTAATAATAATTATATACAAGTCATAGGGCATTATTATGGCAGTTATCCCATCGAAAACGAGGCAACACAACAGGTTAGTACCCGATACTTACCAAACACCAAGTGCTTGGCAAAGACTCTAGGACAAGGAGAAAATCAAAGGCCACCGATAGCCTCCCAACAGACTCCCATCCAATACCCCACCGGGGGCACCGGAGCCTCAGCTAGGAAGGAAATGGGAGACAGACGGAGTGGACTATGTTCACTTTTGCTGTCACTGGTCCTATATATGCCACCACAAATGGGGAGTTGTTATAATGCATAAATGTCCTTTCAAATACCTGTAAAAATTTGATACAGACCAAAATTGAGCTCTTTGGCATTAACTCGACTCGCCGTGTTTGGAGGAAGAAAAATGCTGACTATGACCCGAAGAACACCACCCCTACAGTCTAGGCAAACAATATGCTTTGGGGCGGTTTCTCTGCTAAAGCTACAAGCCGACTTTACCACATTGAGGGGCCAATGGACGGGGCCATGTATTGTAAAATCTTGGATGAGAACCTCCTTCCCTCAGCCAGAACACTAAAGATGGTTCGTGGATGGGTCTTTCAGCATGACAATGACCCAAAACATACCACCAATGCAACTAAGCAGTGGCTCAAGAAGAAGCACATTAAGACCATGGAATGGCCTAGCCAGTCTCCAGACCTTAAAACTATAGAACATTTATGGAGGGTAACCTGTGTCCTGTACTGTACTCTAAAAAAGTATGCTATTTACTTATTCATACAGTACAGGACACAAGATCAGTCCCAACTGTGGGGTTGGCCACATAGCAAATGAAGTTAACAGGGCCATGTAACAATGGGTAAACAGAGTGGATTAGGCTCAAAGAGCAGCTTGAAGCACCTTACACCTGAAACTGGCATCAGAAGAGGCTTGAGCATCTACCTGGTAAAACCTCACAAACTTGTAAACAGCAGACCAAGAAGCAGGGAGCCTTCTGCAGGAAATCCTCAGAAAGAACAAATAGGGAATTGCCAAAAAGAGGCAGTAGCTAAACTCTCACCTCCTGAACCAAGTCCAGACAGTGCAGAGAGATTTCCTTGGAATGCTAGGGAGCAAGGCACAAGGATGATCGGACAATATCCTGAATAAGATGGAAAGAGGAGACCATGTTAAGGAAACAGGAGGCCATAGGTCTTAGGACATCCTTATCCCTGTGCAACACCAGAAAGGGTTCCTTACAGGATATGGCAGCCAACGCAGAGACTCACCTGAGACCATAGCGACCCTCCTGGTAAGATCAGCCTGATGGGTTCAAACAACAGCATCTGCAAAGCTGACAGGTTCCATGGTGGGGAGTGTACAGGAGGAGCAATTTAAACAACACCCTGCACAAAAGCCATCACTAAAATGTGAGAGGCACAAGGTCCTTGAAACAGAATAGTAAAGGCTGAGATTTTTCCCTCGATGGTGCTCAAGGCCAAATGCTGATCACATCTAGACATCAAGAAAGAATTTGTCCCATGGAGTACTTCCTGGGGTGGAATTTCCACTCCTCGTGCCATGCAAAAAAAAAGCCTTCCAGCGGCAATGGTAGACTTAGGGGGTTATTCACGAAGCCGTCGGAGGCAGCCGAGTGAATAACCCAGCCGAAGTGAAGTGAGCCGAACTACGTTCGGCTATTCACTTCTGGCTTGTACGGCTGATATCAGCCGTACATCGGCTGATATCAACCGTACATCGGCTGTGAACAGCCATACATTGGCTACTTTCGGCTGCACTTCAGTGTGAAGTGCAGCCGAACATGTTCGCCCCGCTTCGGCTGTCGCTTCGGCTCAGTCGAGCCAAAGCATATGCCTTCGGCTCGGCTGAGCCGCTCAGCCGCTGTACTGAACTGAAGAGCTCCTTGGGCGGAGAGAGACGAAGAATCAGCCGGAGCTATGGCTGGATCCTTCGGGTCCTACGTGAATAACCTCCTTAGTGATTTCATCTTAAAGGGGCCAAAAGGATAACTGCACTTTGCTTTAAAGTTTAACTGGCTTTATAATGCACTCACCAGACTCTACTTCCTACCGCCACATCATTGGACACTATTGAGTAGTCTTAGAATCTACTTTTATCCACATTCAATTTGTTCTGTAATAATATTAAACGATAGGATCGGTGGAGGAATAGCAACTCCTGGTGCGTCACACTAGATGAAGTCCAAATATGAAGGAAAAGTGACCTATCTAAGTGAGCCTTCTGTTACTAGTCTGCAAGAAGACGGGACCAGGCTCCATCAAGGACTGTAAACTTAGCTTTTAGTATATGCTTTTGTCATTAGTTAACATGGAATCATATGCATGTAGCCTTTAGAAGAAAAAAAAAGGTGAAAGAGGCCATGCATACCTAAATAACATTGTATTGTATAATAGGATCTATAAATCAGGCATTATACTACACTTTACATTAACAATATGATTTTCTAAATTAAGATTTGAAGCAAGAAGAGCAATTATAACATTCATAGCAGCAATATATACTATGCAACAGCACAAGGACTTACATTGTCAATTGTAGAAATGAACAGCAATGCTATAGAGGTTATGTGAAAGATGATAATAAAAGCGAGGACAACCAACATTTTCAGAATATTCTTCTAGCAGACCAAAGAGAATCCTGCAAAAAAATGAAAAGACAATAATTAGTATTATGAAGTAAATATAAGCAGGCACTGGGTAAACAGTCCAACCAACATGTTTCGATGCCACAGGACAGTCTACCTAGATCTAGAGCTAGTTAAAGCACCAACATGCTTCTATATTTTTCTAGGACTGCAGTTGTAAAATCAAAGTTCCCCAACGTACTCACGTGCTGTGGCAATTAAGATTGAGCGCCTAACACTACCCACTGAATTTTTTTATGATGAAATACAAAACAGGAAAACAGCAGAAACAGCCAAGGTCTGCTGCACAAAAATCTCACCACTAGAGTCTCCAAAAAGAACAACAACCCAACATGAGTTAACCAATCAGCAATCTTAAAAGAATAAAACAATTTCCATCAGATTGACTCTTTACTACACGTAAAAAGGGTGACCTCATTTAACATGACTTTGAGTTTAACATCCAGCTGAAAAACCAATTTGGTTATTAATATTACTGTTTTTTGGGCTGGGATTTATTGTTAAAAGGACCAGATCTGCATGCAAGCCACTTAGCAATGACATTGAAAATAGGCCCATGAGGTAGTACCCATCTGTCTTGCCAAAAATGTATGAGCTGTGACTACCTAGATCTGTCAACATTCTCCTGTTGTACTTGTACAGTAACAACTTGTAAGACTTGCATGCATTCCCTATTCAATGGTACGCGTCAGGGGTGCCCGCTGTCCCCCCTCTTGTTTGTGCTGACCCTGGAGCCCCTCCTGTGTCGTATTCGGAATAACCCAAATTTTCCTGGACTCAAGGTGGGAGGGTCGGTCCATAAGGTGGCGGGATACGCGGATGACCTACTTTTTTTTGTGACGAGCCCAGCTACATCCCTACCAAACCTTCTTGCGGAATTAGCACACTACAAATCCCTGTCCAATTTCAAGGTAAATTTGCAGATGTCAGAGGCCTTGAACCTCAATGTGCCCCAGGCAACCATAACAGCCTTCTCCTCGTACTTCCCATTCAAATGGGCCCCACATAGAATTAAATACCTGGGGATATTCCTGACACCTTCCATCTGGGAGGTTTTCTCGGCTAACTTTCCGCCATTCCTTGCCCAGATAAAACTTGACTTACAGATGTGGAGGAAAAACATGTTCACTTGGGTGGCCGGAATAGCATTCTCAAAATGAATGTCCTGCCGCGCCTGCTCTACCTCCTTCAGACTTTGCCGGTACACAATCCGACTTGCTTTCTGAGAAAGGTGAGAGTGGAATTTGGCAAGTTCCTCTGGGCACAGAAGGGCCACCGTCTTAGCCAACTGCTCATGTCTAGACCCAAGCACAAAGGGGGTATTGGATTCCCGGATCCCTTGTGCTATCACAAGGCGGTACATATGGCTAGGATACTAGATTGGAGCCAGGGGGGAGAGGAAAAACGGTGGATCCCAATGGAGCAGTCCTGTACCACAGTTCCTCTGGGGGGCCTACCCTGGACAGACAGGAAGCATACAAGCCACCTTCGGACTCATCCACTCATTGGCCCTACGTTGGCCATGTGTAAAGCAGATAAGACTGGCTGTAGAGCTGATCGGTATCCTTCCCTGATGACCCCAGTGCTGGGGAACCCAGACCTGCCCATCTCACCCTATGACAGGGAGACTAGCCGAGTTATAAAGTCGGGCAGCTTCAGGATCTACCACTTCTGTGCCGGTTCAGGCCTATTACCCATTAAGGATATTCAAGCATGCTCCGACCCTCCCATGACCTTCTGGAAAGCACTCCAGGTGCGTCATTTCCTCAACCGATTGGTTATAAATCCACGGGAGATGCCTCCCCTGACCCCCTTCGAGGAAATATGTTTAAGGGAGGGACCCACCCGTCATGGCCTGTCAGAAGCATACAAGCTGTTGGGAGATACGCCTAATCTACCCCTCCCGGGATATATATCTCAAAATGGGAACGAGATTTGGGAATCACCTTCACTCCGCCCCAAGTTAATAGGATATTTCAGATGACACATAAGGCCTCTATATCCAGCAGTATCCAGGAAACGGGGTTCAAAATTCTCTCCAGATGGTACAGGGTCCCGACAACCTTACATAGAATGTTCCCACAGTGCTCACCACTCTGCTGGCGTTGCCAGACACAGGAAGGTACGATACTACATGTGTTCTGGTCCTGCCCTCTGCTCAGGTATTTCTGGGATAAGGTGGCAGAGGTCTGCACCACGTTGACAGGGGTTGTTTTGGGGTCCGATCCAGCTGAATATCTCCTGCACCTGGCACCCATGCCCTTACGCCGATATAGGAGGTCCCTCTTAGTACACTTACTTAGTGCGGCGAAGGCGTGTATCCCCCTTTACTGGAAACGCTTTGTTGTGGCTGGCGAAGGTAGGAGAGATCTACAGAATGGAGGTGTTTTGTTATAAATTGCATAAAACTATAAATAAAGAATTTATTAAAAAAAAAAAGAATTGCATGCAATTGCTTATCCTTAGGTATGTAGCAGCAAGGGATGCACCGATGCTGATACCAGTATCGGGATCGGTGCCGATAACGAGTATTTGGGTGCGTACTCTTACTCGCCCAAATGCTTCGATACCTTCCCCAATACCAGTAGATTTCCTCTGACCGGCAGTGCTGTAGGGGAACATGGAGCCGGCTTCCAAAGGCAATCAGAAAGGCGGGTAGCGAGTAATGACCACTCGCTGGGCCGGGAAGCTGATTGGCTGGGAAGTTGGCTTCCTGGCTAATCAGCATCGAGCTGACCGAACAGCCAGCTCGATGCTGATTGGCTGAGAAGCCGGTTTCCCGGCCAAACAACATGTAGCTGGCTTCCCGGGCAATCAGGAAGCCGAGAGGCATGTCATTACTCGCCGCCCAGCTTCCTAATTGCCCGGGAAGCTGGCTCCATGCCAGTGGAAGCACCGGTATTGGTACTCGCACTCGATACCATAAAACTAGTATCGGTGCATCCCCAGTAGCAGATAACACAGTCAAATCTCTGGAGCTTGTTCTAGGCTGTCCTCTGCATAAATATGGTGAAATCATAGAAAGTGGACTGAAAAGAAGGGATACTAGTATCGGTATCGGGGCCGATACCAGGCATTTTCACAAGTACTTGTAAAAAAGCCCAGATTCTTAAGGCCGATACCGGCCCTTGAAATTTTTAAACCACAGCGGCTGCTGAGTTCCTGCACTTGTGGGGACCTCAGCAGCCTGCTGGGGACCTGGCAGTAGCTGTTCCTGGCAGTGACTGTACATTTCTTTACCTCCTGCTCCTCCTTCCTGGCACAGCCATGGACAGCCCCAGACACTGGCACCCGTCCGATCAACTGAGAGCCCTGCAGAGATCCAAATGCCGCCCAGTTGAGATTGCAGCCTTCTGCTCTGGTGTATGCAGGGGCGTATCTGCCGCTAGGCAAACAAGGCGTTTGCCTGGAGCGGCAGATTCGCTGAGGGCGGCGTTGCTGGCGGCGCTATGTATTCTGCTGCTGCGGGCTCTGTTGTGTAGCTGTTGTGTGATTTATTGTGCTGCTGTAATGCAATCTATTGTGCTGCTCCAGTGAAATCTATTGTACTGCTATGTTGTGATCTATTGTGCTGCTGTGTTGTGATCTATTGTGCTGCTGTGTTGTGATCTATTGTGCTGCTGTGTTGTGATCTATTGTGCTGCTGTAGTGTAATCTATGGTGCTGCTGTGTTGTAATCTACTGTGCTGCTGTGTTGTGATCTATTGTGCTGCTGTGTTGTGATCTATTGTGCTGCTGTAGTGGAATATATTGTGCTGCTGTGTTGTGATCTATTGTGCTGCTGTGGGATCTTTGGCTGGTGTGGTGGGATCTATTGTGCTGTTGTTGTGGGATCTATTGTGCTGCTGTGGTGGGATGGCTTATTGTCCTCTGCTGGGATGTATTGTGCTCTGCGGACATGTATGGTGCTCTGCGGGCATGTATGGTGCTCTCCGGACATGTATGGTGCTCTGCGGACATGTATGGTGCTCTGCGGACATGTATGGTGCTCTGGGGACACATATGGTGCTCTGTGGACATCTGTATTTTGCTTTGGGGAAATTTGTATTTAGCCCTGGTGAGAAACTGCCCTAAAATCATTAGTCTGTGTTGTTTTAGAAAACATTTTCACATGTCCCTTTAAGAAAAAGTTTCGGTAATTGGTATCGGCAAATACCTGAGCACAAGTACTCGTACTTGGTCTTAAAAAAGTGGTATTGGGACATCCCTACTTAAAAGCATTCCATGTTCTAATATGAAACCATTTACTATACATTGGCTTCTCTGTTTTTAATAGTCATCCCAAAAGCTTGCATCTTTATTAACTTATGTTAACCAATTAAGGGTATCATTTAAACGGTTATTTACAAAAAGGTGACAAGTTTGGAGAAGGCAGGAGAAGTGAACAATCTAGGACAACATAGCTGAATCAGAAAGTGAGCTGAATTGGAGAATTTTTCCAACTCAGCTATTTTGGCCTAGATTGTTCACTTTTCCTGCCTTCCCTAAACTCTTCACCATTTAGTGAATAGCCTTGTCAAACTCCAAACTTTCTGTAATAGTAATTATAAATAGTGACATTAGGTGGCAGCAAAGTGCTATCATTCTCAGCACAATAATGAATATCTTAAACTTGCTTGCTCTACCCAGTGACAGAAATACTAGTTTTATTTTCTTTGGGTTTTATTTAATATGCTTAAAGCCTGTTTCCAATATGAATTAAAAAAGGGAGTGCGGGTATTTAAAAAGTAAACATGCTGGCTGCAATACTAACCTACTCTTCTGCACTGTTCCCCACAGAGTCACCACTCTGTGGCCCAGCACCAGTCCTTTTCCTCCTACTTTTTGTGAGTGCAGGACATCATGAACGCTCTTCCAGGGAAACTGCACTTTCAGCATGTCAGTGGCATCACTGAGGACTGCCCAGTGCTGAGGCTAACAACAATAGCATTTCCAGTCAAAGGATATCTAAAAAAAGGTGAGGAAATTAAAGTGACACTAAACTCAG